TTTTTTTTTTGCTTGCCCTGCCGGCTTTTCTTCCTTCTGCGATTTTTTTTTTTTTACCCAAAATAAGGAGGGCCAGGGCTCCCCTTGATCTGCCACTGATGTATGTGTCTGTTATAGACATAAATCCGGTCTCTAACAGACGGCTGCCGGACATTACGATTTTAACGTACGAAGTGCCGGTTATGCCCCGATTTCTTTGTTTGACCTCCGGTGATAACTAGCTTTGTAATCAGTAAGTGTATTCACAGGCAAACAGAATGATAACAGCAGCAGCGAAGCGCTTTCGAATGGATGTTTCGCCAGGCAAAGCTGTCAAGGTTTCTTTCACTTTTTTCCGCCATCCCTGAGCAACACATGATTGGAAAATTTTGTACATGTGGGGGTGCCGGAGAGGGGCTCGAGTTCACTTGAAAAGTGCAAGACATCAACTCAATTTTTACGTATTTGTCCTTTAAATTTGAAAGATAGCGTTGACGTTGACAATACCAGGGCCTATCTTTTACCCTGGGACAGGAAACGCTGTCAAATGGCTGGGACTCGGAGGGGATGGGTGAGCTTGGAATTGACAAAAGCATAGTCACTGAATCAGACTGGCTGTTTGGTAGTGGACATAACTTGATTGCGCATTCGGGATAGATTTTTTTTATCTTATTCCTTGTTTACATGTGAAGAAAGCTTCTAACAATAAATAATAGAATTGTTGTTATCACGTAGTAGATGATAATTTAAAGCCCCCATAAACGCGCTTGTATCCAGTTTCACGAATACAATAAGAGACCGCCACGTGATTGGCTGAATTTCAGAAGTTCCCAGAATTAGCGGTCCCTCAGCTCTTGATCTCTGCACTCCAGTATTTTACAGCGTGTTATAACACGCTTTCGGTATGGAAAATATAGGCAGTACCACGACAACTGACCAAATGTCAGGGGATAAAGAAGTTGAGAAATCTATAACACAAGAGGTAGATTTAAAGGACCAAATGGAGAAGGCGACGGAATGGGCCAAATTGGTCATGTGATAAGTCCCCGGGGAGAGTACACGTTCGTCGGAAGCCCGCCTTGGAATAAGAAATTCGTTGAAACTTGCAAAAATGGCGACCTCTGAGACGATAAATACCGGCAAAGAAAAGCTCAATAATTGGCTGCATGAGAAAAACTATTTTACTGATGTCTTAGACAAAGTGGAGAAGAAGACTGGAGTGAACAGGCTCTATATCTTTCTTGGTAATTCGATCAATTTTGTTACGCAATTTGAATGAACCTTCAGTCAGGATAGGTTCTAAACCTCTCGTCTTCTTTTAGGTCTGGTTGGAGTATTTGCGCTTTATCTTGTGTTCGGCTATGGAGCAGATCTGATCGTGACAATCTTGGGATTTGCTTATCCTGCTTACCAATCGTACGTATTTTAAAAATTGCGTATTACCTGTTTACTATATGTTAACGTTTGTTTGCTTAGGTCGCCATTGCGTTCGTGTTAAACTAGCTTGTTAAAAAACCACCTGGCTTTCTCTGACATCTCCTTCGCGTTTACTGTTTCTGAAGTCCTCGCCGTTATTTAAATAACTAATTTAACTGTAAAATATTTTCCTGCTGCGTTCTTTCAGAGTGAAAGCCGTGGAAAGTGAAACAAAAGAGGACGACACTCAGTGGCTAATTTATTGGGTGGTGTTTGGAGTCTTCAACATCGTAGAGTTTTTCTCAGACATTCTGCTTTCATGGTTCCCCCTGTATTTCCTAGTCAAGGTATGGTAATCTCACAGATATTAACGCGTGTTATTGTTATTGTTGTTGTTTTTGGATGGTTTTAATTCCCTTCGCCAATTCACTTCGACCTTTTATTACGAAATTCTGCCTTGGACAGCCATGTCTCTTACCAGTATTAAAGTTCGAATTTTGTGAACTTCGAACCCTCACGAGTTTGAAAGTTGTTTTTACTGACCCCCACTTTTCACAGTGCATTAATTTATTACTTCTTGTGGGCAAACTTAAGCTGTAAGAATTGCGGTAACTAACTATTAAAATCGCAAGTAAACGCGTGTATACACTTTTAAAGAAAGCTTTCACGCGTGTAGAGTGTAATTTTTCTTGTTATTTTATTTTGTTATTTTGTAGCTGATATTTCTTTGCTGGTGTATGGCGCCCGTATCTTGGAATGGAGCTAACACTATCTACCACAGAGTTATCAAGCCATTCGTGTTGAAGCACCAAACGCAGATTGATAAGGCTCTGGATAAAGTTGGCCAGAAAGTCGACGAAGTTGCCAAAGAAGGTATATAAGCTAAACATTTGAAAGAAAACTCTCAAACAGAGGTTATATTTGCATAGCTTGCACATAGACGTTTTAAAGTTTTATTTCACAGCTGACAGAAATTTGCATTACACGTACAGTTTGTGTACATGAAATTATCACACCAGAACTCCTTAAATTGGAAGCCATCTGTTCCTCAGTTAATGAATATAATATCTCTTAAGAACAGATTGGCAAATTGCATTTTGTAGGCAAAAAGTTGATTGATTGGGTAGCGCATACTAAAAGCAATTTAAAAAAAATAAGTCCTTTTTGAAGTTTTTTTTGGCAAGTTTGCTTGTACTGAATTATTAAACAGCATCACAAAGGGCAGATGTTTCAAGACCTATCTTGTAACAATAATTTGAAAACATCCACCAGTACCGATAAACATAAAAGCTTCTGTATGTCCTGCTGTTGAAGCAATGCTCAAAAGTTTCCAGGGAACTACTAGCATTTTGGTGGTTACTTGACATCAGTCTGCCTCAATATTTCAATCTCAAGAAAAAAAGATCACTATATTAGAATCATTAGGGAACAATGTGCTTGACTGAAAACTAGACTATATAGGGCATTGGCCATATTTACATTGACAGGCAATTAATACTTGTCAGTTTAATTATGTGTCTCAGATGTGTCATGGGCCTCAGTAAATATGGAAAATAATAGATGCATCAGATGAACTTAATCTGAACTGTGAATCTCACGAAAGCTTTTCTTGTCAACATGCCAGTTTTATGTATCTTTTAGTTAGCTACAGTAGATGTATGCAAATTAGTTGTTGTCAACTAGGTGGCTTTATTTGTTGGTGGGGAATAGAAATCATTCCTGAACCCTCAGACACACAGTAGAGATATCATAAATATCTTTCTAATCTCATCTTCTCGGTCAGTATATAGTAAGTTACAGATCCTCGTTTTTTCCCCTTCGATTTATGGCCCAAGTGCCAAACGCGCAGGCCGAAAATGAAAGGGGAAAAACTCAGTCCATAACTTACAGTATGGATCTCAAACTTGGTTAGTGAGAGGTATGTATATTTTTTGCATGCCTTACTACAGCTCACAAGCCTGAAATTGAAACTTTTAATAGGAGGTTTAACTAAATATACCTACCTAGTCTCACCGTGTTCAGTTGACATATTTTCAGTTGCTAATTTTAACTTTGTCAAATTTGGCTTTCTTTGAATAACCATTTCCTTTAGCCAGGGAGGCTATTACAAATACAAAAGCTACTAGCTAAAGTTAGATTTTACCAATGTGTAACTAGTTGGCTACCATCACTCATTTTCTATCTCTTTGATAAAGTTAAACCAATGAAATACAAATTACATTAACATAACCATGTTGATATACTGTAATGATTCCATTGAGCACCCTGTGTGCAAATTTACTTTTGGTAGCTCATGGGAAGCATCTTATTAGAGAAGGGGTCTTACTGGTTCACTACCGAAAGAGCGCTTGTTTCTTTTTTCAGCGTAAACATTGGAAATGTGATGCAGTGTACTTTAAAAATGATGCAGTAACAAGTGTTGTCATAATGGCAACCATTCTCTTGTTCATTTCGAGTCAATATGCTCAATATTATGTTCAGATAATGATGATAATAATAATACAGACTACAACATTAACTTGTCTAATCAGTTTTTTCCTTGTCAGTCTTCAATAACACTTTTGCAAATGAAGGGGTTATTGGAAAAGGCTTGTTAAAAACAAGAACACTTATGTAGAATGAGGGCTGTTATTAGAAGAGGCGCTAAATCAAATTATTGTAATATCATAGATTTCCAAAGGTAGCAGCGTTCTGAAATTTACAGCAATTAGGAAAAGGCTGCTAAATCTGAAAGTATTAAGGTTGTTACGTTTGGGACTTTGTGGTAGTGGATGCCAAATGAGTATTGACAGCCAATTGGTGTGTGTTTTTTGTGATCAAAATTTCCTCAAATAAATGTGATATATTGTACTTGGGAATGTTTGTCATTGCACCACTAAACTGTTGAATTTGTATTTTTGCAGCCAAGGATGCCGCCACTGAGGCAGCCATAAGAGCAGCTGTGGAAGGTGATAAGAAAGAATCTTAAACATCAAGAACCTAAACAAATGAAATTTGTCAAGACTGCATACAGCAAGTAACAGGATATTGACACTGGAAGTCAAAACACTGCTCAGGAAATCTGAGTGAATTGAACCAATAGATAACTAGAACAGTTTGCTATAATTGATATTTTTTTCAGAAAGTACTACTCCGAATGTTACCTAAAGTTAGTGCATTGTAACTTCTTTTCTTATCCTTTTCTAGCAGTAGCTAACTATTCTGTCTTACTCTAGCTGAACATATTTACAGTACTCGGCTGATTTTTAGGTTCCCACTGTA